GGGGGGATCTCCAGTCACCATACACGGGGTGTCATTGGGCAGGTGATGAGGGGGGGATCTCCAGTCACCATACACGGGGTGTCATTGGGCAGGTGATGAGGGGGGATCTCCAGTCACCATACACGGAGTGTCATTGGGCAGGAATGAGGGGGATCTCCAGTCACCATACACAGGGTGTCATTGGGCAGGTGATGAGGGGGGATCTCCGGTCACCATACACGGATCTCCCCATTCAGACACACACCATAATGTCCTAATAGGAATTCTTAACTTTTTAACCATTTGAAGACAATGAATGTGAGGAAAGTACTGATCCATATGGACTCTGTAGAGTATCGGAGCCAAGTTATGAACACAGGAAGCCTGGACTGCCAGTTTCTGTGGACTCCAACCTATCCTGACGGTACCCGTCGAGTACTCGTAGTCTGTTACCTTCCCCCGATACTGGGACTTCTGGTCAGTGGAAGACTTCCTCTGTCCGGCAGTGCCGTAGGGGAACATGGAGCCGGCTTCCCGTGCGATCAGGAAGCTGGGCGGCAAGTAATGACCCGCCTCCCTGCTTCCTGATTGGCCGGGAAGCCATCTCGATGCTGATTGGCTGGGAAGCCGGCTTACCGATCAATCAGGGAGGCGGGTCATTACTCGCCACCCGGATTCATGATTGGCCGGGAAGCCGGTTTCCTGGCCAGACAACATGGAACCGGATTTTCAGGCAATTGGGAAGCGGAGCGGCATGTCATTACTCACCACCCGGCTTCCTCATTGCCCGGGAAGCCGGCTCCCTGCCAGCGGAAGCATCGGTATCCGTACTCCGTATCGGCGAGTACCGAAAGCAAAACATCAGGACTTGTACTCGATACGGAAAACCCGGAATGGGTGCGTCCCTCACATCAACACATCACCACTGTAAGAAGCTTTGATTCCTGATTAGATCAGACAGACGTTCTCTCCACCGTCAGACATGACTCCGCCCCCCTCATGCGTGTCGCCCAATGGGGGTGCAGGATGTTTTTACTAACGGTGGTTTCTTTCCATCCCTCAGATTGTCCTGATGACGACTTTCATCACCGCGGTCCTCTTCTACATGAAGAAACATCGGTGGTCCGTGCTGAAGTCGCGGAAGATCGCCTACAAACCTCCTCAGTAGCACGACGATCGTGTGTGACTCGTCTGCGTCCATCCTCACTCCGCGGTCACAGCGACGGATCGCGTCCCTTCTGCCTCCTCGGAGCGGGGGCTGCACCCGGACACAGCGCTGCATTGTATTATTATTATTTGTTTCTCGCCCGGCGGTCTCCGGCGCTTTTCGAATACTTTCTTTGCTTTGTTGGTCACTCATCCGTTTCGTCCATAATAAGCCACATTGTCCGGGAGGGGGGAAGGGACTCGCCGGAAGGTTCCGGGAAGATCAAAAAGCAGAATACGGCACTGCGCATGCTCTGTTGTTCAACGCACACAAAAGCTGAGTGCGCAAGGGCGTTAATGCCTTTCAGCGTACAGGCGCTGACCCTTTAAGGGGGGTCTTGGTCAGGTGCCGATAGTACAGGCTTGTGATTGGAAGCCCATCCTACCACTTCTCCATCTACACCGTGTGCGCAGCGCGTGTCTCTGTGCTGGGGGAGGGCAAGTGAACACGCTCACAGCACAGAACATAGGCCGGCGGTATGCAGATATGCAACAGTACAGCATAAGGCCCACCTCTGTGCTGCTACATGCGCGCGGCCAGCGGAGAAGGGTTAAAGAGACCCTGTCACCTTGCCGAGCTGTAGCCCACCGACCCTGACCACCTTATACTCCTCTCCAGCAAACACTCATCACAGGATACCCGGTGTTGTCATTTTGTGGCAGTGTTTGGGCCTAGTGATTGGCACGCCAGCACTGTACTGTGGGAGGAGCCACATGCTCCCCCATACCTGTGGAGGGGAATTGGCTGACGCTGCTGTGAATGGCAACCGACCAGCTTCTGTTTGTCGTCAACTGAAGAGAGAAGCTGACTGGTTACTAGGGGCAACTGTTCCAGATTCTGTCTGCTCCAGTTCTGATAAATGTGTGCACCCCCCCCCCGGGTATTATTAAGCGCAACCAAAGAGGGAGGAGCCACATGCTCCCCCATACCTGTGGAGGGGAATTGGCTGACGCTGCTGTGAATGGCAACCGACCAGCTTCTGTTTGTCGTCAACTGAAGAGAGAAGCTGACTGGTTACTAGGGGCAACTGTTCCAGATTCTGTCCGCTCCAGTTCTGATAAATGTTCCCCCCCCCCCCAGGGTATTATGTAGCGGAATCCAAGGAGCAGAGTGATTTGTTGTTGAGGATACCATGGGGGGGAGGGGGGACTTTACAGACAGTGGGAGGGATTTATCAATGCAAATGTTTGAGTTTCTGCAGTTCATAGTTGGACTCCGTGTCAGAGAAGCAAAAAGTGGTAACGTTTAAAAAAAGAAAAAGATGCATTTTATGGTGAGGAGAGGGGCCCCTGGCAGTCCAAGCCCCTCGCCTTGTTCCCTGATCTCCCCTCAATTATTTATGTGCCCCCTTTTCCAGATCTTCATCAAAGCAGCAATTCTGCCTTTAAACCCTGCTTGCAGACAGACAGCCGGTCAAAGCCTGCCCTGCACCCCAGATCCCCCCGGCAGCTCCAAGCCTGCCCTGCGCTCCAGATCCCCCCGGCAGGTCCAAGGCTGCCCTGCACCCCAGATCCCCGGCAGCTCCAAGCCTGCCCTGCGCTCCAGATCCCCCCGGCAGGTCCAAGGCTGCCCTGCACCCCAGATCCCCGGCAGCTCCAAGCCTGCCCTGCGCTCCAGATCCCCCCGGCAGGTCCAAGGCTGCCCTGCACCCCAGATCCCCGGCAGCTCCAAGCCTGCCCTGCGCTCCAGATCCCCCCGGCAGGTCCAAGGCTGCCCTGCACCCCAGATCCCCGGCAGCTCCAAGCCTGCCCTGCGCTCCAGATCCCCCCGGCAGGTCCAAGGCTGCCCTGCACCCCAGATCCCCGGCAGCTCCAAGCCTGCCCTGCGCTCCAGATCCCCCCGGCAGGTCCAAGGCTGCCCTGCACCCCAGATCCCCGGCAGCTCCAAGCCTGCCCTGCGCTCCAGATCCCCCCGGCAGGTCCAAGGCTGCCCTGCACCCCAGATCCCCGGCAGCTCCAAGCCTGCCCTGCGCTCCAGATCCCCCCGGCAGGTCCAAGGCTGCCCTGCACCCCAGATCCCCGGCAGCTCCAAGCCTGCCCTGCGCTCCAGATCCCCCCGGCAGGTCCAAGGCTGCCCTGCACCCCAGATCCCCGGCAGCTCCAAGCCTGCCCTGCGCTCCAGATCCCCCCGGCAGGTCCAAGGCTGCCCTGCACCCCAGATCCCCGGCAGCTCCAAGCCTGCCCTGCGCTCCAGATCCCCCCGGCAGGTCCAAGGCTGCCCTGCACCCCAGATCCCCGGCAGCTCCAAGCCTGCCCTGCGCTCCAGATCCCCCCGGCAGGTCCAAGGCTGCCCTGCACCCCAGATCCCCGGCAGCTCCAAGCCTGCCCTGCGCTCCAGATCCCCCCGGCAGGTCCAAGGCTGCCCTGCACCCCAGATCCCCGGCAGCTCCAAGCCTGCCCTGCGCTCCAGATCCCCCCGGCAGGTCCAAGGCTGCCCTGCACCCCAGATCCCCGGCAGCTCCAAGCCTGCCCTGCGCTCCAGATCCCCCCGGCAGGTCCAAGGCTGCCCTGCACCCCAGATCCCCGGCAGCTCCAAGCCTGCCCTGCGCTCCAGATCCCCCCGGCAGGTCCAAGGCTGCCCTGCACCCCAGATCCCCGGCAGCTCCAAGCCTGCCCTGCGCTCCAGATCCCCCCGGCAGGTCCAAGGCTGCCCTGCACCCCAGATCCCCGGCAGCTCCAAGCCTGCCCTGCGCTCCAGATCCCCCCGGCAGGTCCAAGGCTGCCCTGCACCCCAGATCCCCGGCAGCTCCAAGCCTGCCCTGCGCTCCAGATCCCCCCGGCAGGTCCAAGGCTGCCCTGCACCCCAGATCCCCGGCAGCTCCAAGCCTGCCCTGCGCTCCAGATCCCCCCGGCAGGTCCAAGGCTGCCCTGCACCCCAGATCCCCGGCAGCTCCAAGCCTGCCCTGCGCTCCAGATCCCCCCGGCAGGTCCAAGGCTGCCCTGCACCCCAGATCCCCGGCAGCTCCAAGCCTGCCCTGCGCTCCAGATCCCCCCGGCAGGTCCAAGGCTGCCCTGCACCCCAGATCCCCGGCAGCTCCAAGCCTGCCCTGCGCTCCAGATCCCCCCGGCAGGTCCAAGGCTGCCCTGCACCCCAGATCCCCGGCAGCTCCAAGCCTGCCCTGCGCTCCAGATCCCCCCGGCAGGTCCAAGGCTGCCCTGCACCCCAGATCCCCGGCAGCTCCAAGCCTGCCCTGCGCTCCAGATCCCCCCGGCAGGTCCAAGGCTGCCCTGCACCCCAGATCCCCGGCAGCTCCAAGCCTGCCCTGCGCCCCAGATCCCCCCGGCAGCTCCAAGCCTGCCCTGCGCCCCAGATCCCCCCGGCAGCTCCAAGCCTGCCCTGCTCCCCAGATCCCCCCGGCAGCTCCAAGCCTGCCCTGCTCCCCCTGGCAGCTTCAAGCCTGCCCTGCGCCCCAGATCCCCCCGGCAGATTAAAGCTCAGCCTGACACATCTCTGGCTGCGTTTGAGCATGATATAGTCGGACGTTCCAGGGAGCTGCGTCGGTAAAAATGAATGTGCAGATGAAGGGTTCCCCTCTGGAGTGCCGGAAACATGGGGGGCTCTGAGCTCGCTCTCCATGCCCATTGCACTGACTAAACCGCATTGCAAGTAACACATTGCACATACATAAGCATCTATGTATTGGGTGCTTGCCCGGAGTTCTGCCTTAAAGGGAACCTGTCATCTTAGGAGTGCTAGCGGTCACCTGCGCCCCTTCTAGTGAATCCCAATTTTCCATGCAAGGTTTTTAAGGTCCAGATTCAGGTTGACATCCTCATCATTGCTGACCAGTTGGGACTCCTGAGCGGCATAGGGACTCAGGCGTGTAGGTGGAGGAGAGAAGATGTAACATCCCCACCCCTCTCCTCTTCCAATCACAGAACACCTCGTATTCTTTGTGAAAGGTACAAGGCGCGTTGTGAATGGGCAAGGAGGTGCCGGAGGGGGGATGTGACGGCAGCACTTCTCTGCTCCCGTTCTGTTCCTCATTTCCTGGAGTGTTATGTGTAGAAGCCAGCATGCTGGAAGGTAGCAGCCCTCTGCGCACAACACGCATCATTTTAGTGATAACGTACGCACCCAGTGCCGGGTGTAAAGCAGGGGTAGCCAAACTCCGGCCCTCCGGCTGTGGTGAAACTACAAATCCCATGATGCATCGCTTTCCAGGAGTCATGTCTGTGAGAATGTTGCAATGCCTCATGGGATTTGTAGTTCCACCACAGCTGGAGGGCCAGCGTTTGGCTACGTCTGGTGTAAGCCCTGATCGTTTTGTAGCGCGTTCTACGCTCGACGAACGCTCTACAAAACGCTCAAAAATATAAATCCCATTGTATTCAATGGTCTCGTTCCCACCTCGGCGTATTTCCGCCCGTCCCTAACGCGCTACAAAACTGCCCACGCCTGAAAAGGTGCAGGTAATACTTTGGGCCGCTTTGTTGCGCGTTTCCATTGGGATACAGCCAAGTAGCCTTCGGAAACGCGCGTTTGTCGCGCGACTTTTTTTCTCCGCGATTCGCGGTAAAAAAAATGCGCGACAGACGCGCATATGCAATACGCCTAGGTGTGAACGAGACCTAAATGATCCCCCCCCATGACATGGTGCTTTGAGGGCTTGTTCAAAGCTTTGTTCTGATTGGGCCTACCCGTGGAGGTGTCAGTCTGGACCCAGCGTATGGCCCACGATCCCGGATCCATCACAATGGCCCCCGCGGTCCGAGCGTTTCCCAGTCTCTCTGGTACTGTGTGGATGGCTTCTTCGGTCCAGATACTTCCAGGTCCCCAGAACCCGCTGGTGAGCAACGCCGCGGGAGGATTCCCTGAGCAGGACGATGTCTCCTTGGAGAAGACTCGGACGCCTTCCACAAGAGGGTCAGGGTGGTAGGAGCGCTCTCACCCAACGAGGTTCCTTCCAGCAAGCCGGCCTCGGCCATAGCCCGGAAGAGCGGAGGTACAATTCACCCGGAGTGAATAGACACCAAGGGGTGTATGTATAACCAATTCACAGAGCCATTCACCCCGGCGGAGCTTCCCGAACATGCGCGCCGCAGAGACGCAGAAATGAACGTTCGTGTATTGGAAGGTCGTAGAGAATAAATCGAGGCAACTGGACTCGCTGTACTTAGCTTGAAGACGTTTCGCTGGTCACCCGCCTAGAAGCTGATATATATATATCCCCCCCCCACTTCCAGGTGTCATTGTAATATA